CACAATTCTTCACTGACCTTGAAAGGATAATAATCAACTTTATATGGAAAAACAAAAGACCCAGGATAGCCAAAACAACCCTATACAATAAAAGAACTTCAGGAGGCATCACCATTCCTGACTTTAACCTCTACTACAGAGCTATAGTTCTGAAAACAGCCTGGTATTGGCATCAAAATAGGTAGACCAATGGAATCGAATTAAAAATCCTGATATTAACCCACACACTTATGAACACCCGATTTTCGACAAAACAGATAAAATTATACAATGGGGCAAGGACAGCATCCTCAACAAATGGTGCTGGCACAATTGGATGAGGGTGTGTAGAAGACTGCAGATAGACCCATGTCTATCGCCATGCATAAGACTCAAGTCCAAATGGATTAAAGACCTCAACATCAATCCAGCAACATTGAACCTCTTAGAAGAGAAAGTAGTAGGTACCCTTGAACAAATTGGTTTAGAAGACTGTATCACGGTTAAATAAGGATCAGGATAAACAAATAGGCCAAATAGATGTTTATTTAGGGAGAAATAACTTACAACCTAGACAGATGAACATCAGGAAATTTCACCCGATGCTCTCCTGTCAGTCTCGCCAGCAAGAGACCTTTTCCCAGCTCTTCCTCAGACCTCCTTCCACAGGTTGCATCTGCCCATGGCTCCACCCCCCAATGGGCTTGGTCAGTGCCACAGAATGACTATCTCCCTACAATTCCCCTTTTAGTCTAAAGAAAAGATTTAGGCTTAATACAAAACTATGTACAAAACAGTGAATAACAAGTATGCTCTAAGAAAAGGAAAATCGAGAACAAAATGACCTACATATCTAGTCCTAGGGTGAAGGCTTAACGGAGTTTACAATAGAGTTGTCCTAAGCTGGAAAACATAAGTCTAGTACCTAATATATCTAACTAGGAAGAGAGAATAATAGTTGTGATAGTTTAATAATGATACTAGGGTACACAGGAAGTGTGGATGGGCAACTTCCAAAAGGTGCAGCAAGGACAGAAACAGCAAGCTACCTAGTCAGTCACCCTAGTTCTCACAGCAACATTGGTACACCCAGTTTTGGCTAAGGCCAAGAGAACTTGACAGACCACAACAACAGCAGGGAGGTAGAAAGGCTGTCTTACCCTGACTTGGCAAGGTCCTGCAGTCTTCTATATTTGTCTCCTGCAAGCACATAGGACTGCATGTCCACATCAGTGGTCAAGGTGGGGGCAGTTCTTTGCCCAACAGGCCATTAGCTGAGGCGAGAATGAACTCCAGCAGGAGCAACAACAGTGTCCAACATATTTTTGGAAAAGTTTACGGTGCTGTCAGGAGCAACAGTGTCTCATGTCAACGGAGTACTAATATTAAAACATTTAAATGTTATGTTCTGTATGTCTATGAAGTGATTGAAGATTAAGCATCTATATTTGATGCTATATTTGATCTCATAGGTACAGGAAACATGAGTGAAGATAATCTGTAATACTCAGGAACTTAGCTAAAAAACTGATTAAAACTTCCCTGAATAAAGCAGGAACAAATACTTAAACAATGTAACTATATACATATACATACATATAAATCCCTAAAATAGAATTAGAGTAGAAATGTTAAGACAAGAGGTAGAACTATAAAGGGCAGCATGATAAATATCCCACATTGTATCAATATACAAATGTCTTGAATACAAGAAACGTATACATACATAGAATATGGTAAAAATAATGTGCATAAAACATCATAAGTGGAAAGATTTCACACAATATAACAAAATATAAACTTAGTTTTACGTAGCCTACCAATATAAGAATATTTAACAATGTAAGTTGTAAAATACTATCTCGTTCTTACTCAAATTCACAAGAAAATAGTCTAATCTACCTATATCCCATCTAAACCATACCTTTCCCAACCATTTTCTATTCCTGTCTAAAAGATAAACCTGAACTCCAGGGGCACAGACACTGAGAAAAACAATTAATAAATGGGACATCTTCAAACTTAGAAGCTTCTGTAAGGCAAAGGACACAGTGGACAAGACCAAATGGCAGCCCACAGACTGGGAAAAGATTTTCACCAATCCTATATCCGACAAAGGGCTGATCTCCAAAATATACAAAGAACTCAAGAAACTAGTCAACAAAACACCAAATGACCCTATTAAAAAATGGGGTACAGAACTGAAGAAAGAATTCTCAGAGGAAATCAAAAAGGATGAAAGACACTTAAAAAAGTGCTCCAAATCCTTAGCTATCAGGGAAATGGAAATAAAAACAACTTTGAGATACCATCTTACTCCTGCCAGAATAGGTAAAATTAGAAACACCAATGATGACTCATGTTGGAGAGGATGTGGAGAAAGTGGAACACTCCTCCACTGCTGGTGGGAGTGCAAACTCATACAGCCATTTTGGAGATCAGTATGGCGGTTCCTCAGGAAAATGGGAATTAGTTTACCACAGGACCCGACAATCCCCCTCTTAGGCATATACCCAAATGATCCACATCCATGAAGCAAAGACATCTGTTCAACTATGTTCATAGCAGCACTATTTGTAATAGCAAGAACCTGGAATCAACCTAGATGCCCCTCAATTGAAGAATGGATAATGAAGATGTGGCACATCTACACAATAGAATACTACTCTGCAGAAAACAATAATGGTATCTTGAAATTCTCAGGCAAGTGGATGGCACTTGAAGAAACCATCCTGAATGAGGTAACCCAGTCACAAAAAGAGGAACATAGTATGTCCTCACTCATATATAGATTTTAGACCTAGATGAAAGGATCACCAGCATATAATTCACACCACCAGAGGAACTAGGATCCAAGGAGTATTCTAAGAGATTCATATAAAGTCCCTCACAGAACCAGGAAGGGACAAGGGACAAGTCCCCCGGAGCCCAGGGGAAGTGGGGGGGCAGCAAATGGAGACAGAAGTAGGAGAAAATGAGGGGGAGGAAAGGAAAACACGTGAGACCAGGAAGATTGAGCCCGGTTAGGAATAGAAGACGAGAGAGAGAGAGAGAGAGAGAGAGAGAGAGAGAGAGAGAGAGAGGGAGGGGAGGGAGAGGAGGGAGGGAGGGAGGGAGGGAGGGAGGGAGGGAGGGAGGGAGGGAGAGAACATAAAAGAGGGAGCCAAAATTGGTTTGAAGATAAAACTGAACACAAAGAAATGTCTAGAGAACTACAAGACTGCTGCCAACTAACAATTTGAGCTTCCGTGGAAAGGCTACCATAAATGCCCTTCCCGGATAGTGAGATCAACAACTATCTTATCCATTGAGCCCTCATCTAATGCCTGTTGGAAACAGAAGCAAACACCCATACATAAACACTGAGTCGAACTACAACCCAGATGCAGATGGAGAAGACAAGACCAGGCGGCAGAAACACATAGAGACAGCTTACCTGAATAAGGAGGAGCTAATGGGCCCCCAGACTGATAGCTGGGAATCCAGCATGGGAATGACTCAAGCCTCCCTGAATATGGGTCTCAGCCAGAAGGACTGAGCAGTCTAAGGGACCTCAGACAGTGGAGCCAGGATATATCCCTGGTGCACAAAAGGACCTTCCAAACACATCCCCTATGGAGGGATGTGTTCCATGGAGGGGTAACTGCCTTAACCTAGAGACAGGAGAGAAGCCCTAGTCCCCACTTCACATGACCTGTCAGATCTACATGACCCCAACTGGATGGCATTCCCCTACATATGGAATTGGGGTGGGGGGATGGGAGGGGAGGGTGGTTAGGGTACATGTGAGAGGGCAGAGAGGGTAAAAATGAGGGAGGGAAGGAGGGAGGGAAGGATGGAGGAAGGAAGGATGAGGGAACTGGGATCAACATGTAAAATAATAAATTAAATAAAGAAAATGCTTTGACTCCATAATTTAAGTTCAAGGACAAGTTACTGGGGAAAAGGATTTCTATTTTTGTTTCCACAGAAAATGAAAAGCTGTGAATTCCTTCCAGACTAATGTGGTTTGATCAAGCCAGACCGCCTGAAACAGAGGACCAGGTGATCCTACATTCAAAGCAGCTGGACAAAGCAGCCTTGCAGACTACAGCCAGGATTTCTGCATCTTCTTAGAATCTCCCATGACAGCGTCCCTTACAAGCTGGAAGTGGTTTGGAAAGAACAACGCCCAAATTCCCAAATATTGTCTATAAATGTTTGTTTTCATTTAAATGGACTTGGTTATATAAAATAAATAAAAAAGAGTGAGAATTGTTGTTCCTAAATTATTACATATCTTTTATGAAATGTTGATAAAATATGGAGGAATGGGTACTAATAAATGCCCAAGAGTTATAAAATACACCAGTTCCTGTTGAAAGAATGTAGCGGAATTTATTAAAATTGAATTGTGAATGAGTAAGTGAACAAAATGTTTAGATATCTATAGTAAAGATAGATATGAGCGCAAGTTCTACAGTACTGCTTAAGCAGGGCATTTCAAATTCTTCACAGACTTATAGGAAGTTTCATGTAATTGTCTTTTAGGGTAAGTATTTGATTACTGGTATCAGCCTTTGTGTTATTATTAAGATATAAATTGGTCTTCATTTTACTCTAGTATGCAGCTCATTATATAATCATTTGACAAGTAATTTGCATGTCAAATTCATATTAATTATAACAATGTACTGTCTTACATTTAATACTACAGGAAATATAAGCATGAAGAATTCAGGAAATATCAATGGCATTAAACGCCCATGGAAAATATGAGTTCGTTTGGTTTTATAAATACAAAGTTATGCCATGTTGAAGAGGTGAAGAAGGAATACATGTTTCCTTCATATTTTCTTTAATATTTTTCAGAATACCATGCATATTCATGGAAGTCAGCTTTCCATTTGAGAGAAGTAAGCAATCCAAGCATGTATTCATTAATAAATGAAAACAATAATTATAATGGCTATATTTTCTCTGTGAATTGTACAGGTCCCAAAGAGGCCTGTAGGTGTCTATATAATTCAGAAAAGCATGCACTAAACTGTATAATCTACTTTTCCTCTAGCAGGTGCTTTGTTCCTGACATAATTTAGCACATTCCTATGTGGTCTGAACAAAATAATGTAGCACTTGGGAACAAAGATGCAGCCTAGGAGGCCTGCACTGGATGACAGGATGGAAAAGCCTTCCATGGCAACTGTGACTTTCCCCTTAGTGCTGTGGTAGACAGGAAGGAAAGTGACCCACACACTGAAGAAAACCAACATGCTGAAAGAAATGAACTTGGCTTCATTGAATGTGTCGGGTAGGTTCCTGGACAGGTAAGCCATAGTGTAGCTCCCAAGTGCCAGGGAGCAGAGGTATCCCAGGACAGAGTGGAAGGCAATAGTGGAGCCCTTGTTGCATGAAGCAATTATGTGGCCATGTTCAGTGTGAGCATCTGAGTCAACAAAGGGAGGAGAGATGCTCAGCCAAATTCCACAGAGAACAAGTTGGATAAGAGTGCAGACTGGAATGATGTAGTTAGGAGCCCTTGATATCATTATCCACCTTATCAGTCTCCCTGGAACTGTGGCCTTAAAAGCCAGAACCACAGTAATGGTTTTGGCCAAGACTGTGGAGAGAGCCACTGTGAACAGAACTGCAAAAGTGCTCTGCTGCAGGACACAGGTGGCTGTGTTGGGATGGCCAATGAAGAGCAAGGGACAGAGAAAACAGAAGGTCAGAGTGATGAGCAGGATGTAAGTGAGAGACCAATTGTTGGCCTTGACGATGGGAGTGTGGTGGTGTTTAACAAAGACACAAAGAACACCAACACTTATGGTAGAGAAGCCCAGGGCCAAGGAGGCCAGTGTCAGTCCCAAAGTGTCTTCATAGGCCAGAAAGGTAACTGTTTTCTGGAGGCAGTGGTTCTGCTCTGTGTTTGCATAGTGACTTTCTGGACACCTCATACAATGATCCGTATCTATGAATTAAAGATATTGTGAGTCTCTGCTCAGATTACCCTTTGGTTGCAAGCCACTTCCCAGCACCAACTCTCTTGTATTTTCCCACATTTTCTTTGTTGTTTCAGACTCATGTACATCAGTGCTTAGTAGTGAAAATTTCCATATGCCTTCTAATTCATGATCCAGGATCTTCTTATTAAACATGCAGTGTACCTTTCTATTCTTTTTATTAGTGTACTTAAGTACATTTTCAATTAAGAATAACTTGCATTTGTTTATTTAGTCATAAATTTCTGAATTAAATTATATAACCATAACTTGATCATAGGATCACGTCATTCCCTTGTGTGTCTTTGTCCTGTGATTTCAGTGCAAGGAGAATGTGATTTGAAGGTATTTTTCTTGTAATGTTCTCAGTTATCACACTCAAGACTATCTATTCCCATAATGCTTATTGGTTGAATCCTCCTATATGTTCATTCTCTAATGGTGCTTACAGGAACATGAACTATCAGATTTGTGAAAGCTTGAAAAACTCCCTTTTTGAAACTTATTAGTCATTTCTAGGAAGAAATGATCAATTTAACACATAGAAATAGAACTCTTGTTTTAGTCATATTGGTCAGGGAGTATTTGTATGATACTATATCCCTTTACATTTTTGAGTTTCATCTTGAATTCAGAAAGATATAAATAACATTCTATTTATATCTCATTTTCTTTCAATTAAAACAGTCTGTTTTTGTAAGTAAATTTTTCAATTTGATGGATTGTTGAAAATTTGCATTAAGATATTGAATTCATCATTTTGCTACTACCTTGTCTTTTATTCCATTATCAGCATTTTATTTGTTATTTCTTATATTTCTGTCTTTGTGCTACCCTCTCACTCTCAAGGCACTTTGTCTCCTCTATTTTCTGTGTGTTTACTTCTGGTGATTAAAACTGAGCATGAAATGGTTCAGAATCAAAATCCTGTATCTTCTTTATGAAAATTGCATGGAGTATAAGACATGACCGATTTGTTTTTATAATTTGGAAGTGCTATGAAGTTAGTTACACTTCATTTGATATGTTTTAAAATATGGGACTCACTGTTTTAAAATATTTAGCATTTATGTTTTACTTTCTTCTTTCTTACTAAATACAATTTGAAGTGTCTCATTTTACTGCAACCATTCAGGTTTTGATACTGATGATTCTAGTTTTCTCTAATGAATACACTTAATGTGTTCATGAACTTACCTTGGCTCTAATGTACACAAAGTCTCTATATGCATATGAAATCTTGGTGACATGTATAATAGATCTCAATATGTACATTTTATATTAGGCAAATAAAAGTCCCCAAATATTTGAAACTTTCTCTGCTTATGAGCTTTTGATACCATATCTGAGTGTTCAGTACAGCCAGTGTGGTATTCAAAACAATCCAGTTAATATATGAAATGTCTCATTAGAAATTAATATTAATGTCGAGGATTTCATTTTGATTTTTCTTTCCATAGTTAACATTGTTTCTAAGTGTGCTCCTTCCATTCGCTGTTTCCACTGTCTCATGCCAATTTTCTCTTCCTTTGATATATTTAGGCATAATATCATTGTGAAATATTAGATGAAGATATGTTACATTTGTTTATTCTGTAGAACATTTCTTTTGTGATACAAGCATGTTTCATTCATTGATGTTGAATTTATTTAACTCCGTGAAGCTGTATTACTTTTCCTGTCTAAAATACCTGATTGGTCTAATCAAGAGCAGAATGGCCAACAAACAGAAAGGGCTGGCAGGTAGAAAGAATAAGTAGGAGGAGAACTCTTGGAGAGAAGAATCAAGGAGCAAAAGAAGGAGGAGAGGAGGATATCAGAGGCCAGCCACCAAATTACACAGCAAGTCATTGTAAAGAATTTATCAAAGAATATAGAATTGAGAAATACCATTGCCCTGAGGCATAAGGTAGACATGATAATTTAAGAAGCGCTGAGTAAAAACAAGTCAAGCTAAGGTCAGACTATATTAAGTAAGTATAAAGTTCCATGTCAGTATCTGGGAGCTGAGTAGTGGGCACCCAAGAGATGAAGAGTAAATAGCGACCAACTATTTAAGCTACCTGTACTATGTCCATCTTTGCCTGAAAAGTTGATCCTTCAAATGCAGTGTTCTGCCTTGTTCTATTAACAGAATTGTATGTGTTCCTGGCCTTTTCACAATATTATTATTAATGCAAGTGGTGATATAGCATTTTCACTTAGCTGTCACAAAAAATAGTTCCATAATTTGCCTCTTTTATATGTAATAATGCTTCCATTGTTACTTAGAAAATAAAGTCATTTGTTTACAATGAGTTAATGACTATTTACCCACATTATTTAGTGGTGGTTAATCAAATTTACTCATATACATACAAACTATTGATTTAAAAAATATTTATGTTCCATGGAAGAGTAATGTAATAGTATTTTGACATACCACATTAATTGATGTTTTATGGGTCAAAACATGTTTTAGATCTTCATATATCCCTCTCCTTGGAAAATAAAGCTTTAGTGTTTCTGGTACTTTATACAGATGGAGGAACACACACATACTAATAATGTTGAACATTATTAGTGCTGTACATCAAAGACGAAGGTAGATAAATAATTTGTGGTTCAGGGAACCTGTTACCCTTAAGAGGACCTGGGTTGTGTTGTAAGCACCCACATGGTGGTCAATACTATCTGTGACTCCACCTCCAGGACATTTGATGCCTTATTCTAACTTTTATGTAGATCAAATAAGTAAAGTGTACATACATACAGGGAGGCAACACAACCAGTGATAAAAATTGACAAAATATAAAATAATAACTTTGACAGATGTCCATGAGTACATTAAATACGAATCTTTCTGACACCTCTGATGAAGCCAGAACCATGACTGAATATATGCAACCAAGGGACATAAGGATCCAACCCTTAAATATGTGTCAACCATCAGCTAAACATGCTTTGAAAAAGAAATGAAGCCTGTTAATTATACTCTCTCTGTATTACATCCCATGGTGAAATAAAGAAGACTACTTTGTAAACAGTAAAGTTATTCTATGAAAGGAACAATGGCTGTAGAGTATCAGCAACATAAATCAAGCATGAGTTTCAATGCTCAGGGCACCATTTAAAAGATGATAAAATGAACAAAAGTATTATTACTTCCAAATCAAGAAGAACAGGGTTTATCTCTACTGTCTCTTTACATGAACTGATATATTACCAAAAAATGTGGCATGGTAGGAAAGTCCCCAGTAAAATATGACATTTACCTGTTTCATTGGAAATCTCATTATCTGAACACTGAGTGCAATCATAGCAACAGGCAGGCCTCCCCTCCTGGGCAGATTTTCTGAATCCTGGAAAACAGCTCTCACTGCACACAGAGCGAGGAAGCTGAGAATCAAATACATGATGAAAATACTCAGGAATGGACTGTTATAAAGTAATAAAACAAATCAAATCAAACATCTTGATATTAATATACACACCTACGAACACATGATTTTTGACAAAATAGCTAATATTATACATTGGAAGGAGGAAAGCATCTTCAACAAATGGTGCTGGCACAAATGAATGATGGTGTTTAGAAGACTGTAAATAGACCCATGTCTATTGGCATGCACAATTCTCAAGTCCAAATGGATCAAAGGCCTCAACAGCAATTCATCCACACTGAACCTCTTAGACGAGAAAGTGGGAAGTACCCTTGAACAAATAGTTACATGAGACTACTTCCTGAACATAACTCCAAGAGCACAGATACTGAGATCAACAATTAATAAATGGGACCTCCTGAAACTGAGAAGCTTCTGTAAGGCTAAGGATACATTCGACAAGGCCAAACGGCTTCCTGCAAACTGGGAAAAGATCTTCACCAAGCCCACAACTGACAGAGGGCTGATCTCCAAAATATACAAAGAACTCAAGAAACTAGTCAACAAAATACCAAATAATCCTATTAAAATGTGGAGTACACAACTGAATAGAGAATTCTCAATAGAGGAATCCAAAATGGACAAAAGACAATTAAGAAACTGCTCTCAGTGTCTGTGACCCTGGAGTTATGTTCAGGAAGCAGTCTCCTATACCAATTTGTTCAAGGGTACCTCCTACTTTCTCTTCTAAGAGGTTCAATGTGGCTTTATTTATGTTGAGGTCTTTGATCCATTTGGACTTGAGTTTTGTGCATGGCGACAGACATGGGTCTATCTGCAGTCTTCTACACACCCTCATCCAATTGTGCCAGCACCATTTGTTGAGGATGCTGTCCTTGCTCCATTGTATAATTTTAGCTGTTTTGTCGAAAATCAGGTGTTCATAGGTGGGTGGGTTAATGTCAGGATTTTCAATTTGATTCCATTGGTCTACTTGTCTATTTTTGTGCCAATTCCAGCCTGTTTTCAGAACTATAGCTCTGTAGTAGAGCTTAAAGTCAGGAATGGTGATGCCTCCAGAAGTTCTTTTATTGTATAGGGTTGTTTTGGCTATCCTGGGTCTTTTGTTTTTCCATATAAAGTTGATTATTATCCTTTCAAGGTCAGTGAAGAATTTTGGTGGGATTTTAATGGGGATTGCATTGAATCTGTAGATTGCTTTTGGCAAGATCCCATAGAGGGATAACTGTCTTTATCTAGGAGATAAAGGAGAGAAGCCCTAGTCCCTACTTCACATGACCTGTCAGATCTACATGACCCCAACTGGATGGCATTCCCCTACATATGGAGTTGGGGTGGGTGGATGGGAGGGGAGGGTGTTTAGAGTGCAGGTGAGAGGGCAGAGAGGGTAAAAGGGAGGGAAGGATGGAGGGAGGGAGGGAGAAGGAATTGGGATCGGCATGTAAAATAATAAATTAAATAAAAAATGCTTTGACCCCAAAATATAAGTTCAAGGACAAGTTACTGGGGAAAAGGATTTCTATTTTTGTTTCCACAGAAAATGAAAAGCTGTGGATGTGGTTTGATCAAGCCAGACCGCCTGAAACAGTACCAGGTGATTCTACATTCAAAACAGCTGGACCAAGCAGCCTTACAGACTACAGCCAGGATTTCTGCATCTTCTTAGAATCCCCCATGACAGCGCCCCTTACCAGCAGGAAGTGGTTTGGAAAGAACAACGCCCAAATTCCCAAATAGTGTCTATAAATGTTTGTTTTCATTTAAATGGACTTGGATATACATATACAATACATAAAAAAAAAAAAAAAAAAAAAAACACATACATACATACATACATATACATATACATATACATATACATATATATATATGGAGAAATTGCTCAACATCCTTAGCCATGAGGGAAATGTAAATCAAAACAACAACTCTGAGATACCATCTTACTTCTTCCAGAATGGCTAAAATTAGGAACACCAATGACAACTTATGCTGGACAGGATGTGTTGAAAGGGGAACACTCCTCCACTTTTGGAGGAGTGCAAACATGTACAGCCATTTTCGAGATCAGTATGGCATTCCTCAGGAAATTGGGAACCAATCTACCACAGGACCCGACAATCCCCCTCTTAGGCATATACCCAAATGATCCACATCCATGCAACAAAGACATCTGTTCAACTATGTTCATAGCAGCATTATTTCTAATAGCAAGAACCTAAGGCAACCTACAGGCCCCTCAACTGAAGAATGGATAAACAGATGTAGCACACCTACACAATGGAAAACTACTCAGTGTGTGTGTGGGGGGGAAACAAAACAATGGAATCTTGAAATTCGCAGGCAAATTGATTGAACTTAAAGAAACCATCCTGAGTGAGGTAACCTAGTCACAAAAGAGGAACATGGTGCTCACTCATGTATGGATTTAGATGTAGAGCAAGGAATAGCCAGCCTATAATTCACCCTGCCTGAGAAACTAGGATACAAGGAGGAACCTAAGAGTTTCATACAAGGTTCCTCACAGAAGGGGAAAAGAACAAGGTCTCCTGAGCATAGTGGGAGCGGGGGTACAGTGAGTGGAGAGGGCATTAGGAGAAAGAGAATTGGAGGAGAGCAGAACATGTGGGACTCAGAAGATTGAGTAGGAGGACAAATAGATGAGAACAAATATATGAGATACCATAATAGAGGGAGCCATTGTAGGTTTGAAGAGAAAAGTAACTCTAGAGAAATGTTCACAGACCTACAAGGGTGACCCCAACTAACAATCTGAGTAACAGTGGAAAGGCTACCTTAAATGCCCTTCCCTGATAGTGAGATTGATAACTAACTGATATGCCATTATAGAGCACTCATCTAGTAGCTGATGGAAATAGAAGCAGACGCCCACAGCTAAATACTGAATCAATTCCTGGAATCCAGTTACAGAGAGGGAGGAGTGATAAGAAAAGATGTCAAGACCAGTCTACAGAAATCCACAAGACAGATGACCTGAACAAGCAGGAGCTCATGGACCCCCACACTGACAGCTGGGAAACCAGCACTGTAACGACTCTGGCTCCCTGAGCATGGGTCTCGTTAGAAGGCCTGGGCTGTCTACGGGTCCTGTAACAGTGGAACCAGGATGTATTCCTGGTGCATGAAAGGACTTTGGGAGCACATTCCCCATGGAGGGATACTCCCTTAGTCTTGACAGATTTGGATGATCCTTCCTGGAAGGCATCACCCTAACTTTGGAGTGGGGTGATTGGGATGGGAGGGGTGTGAGGGGGGAGGGAGAGGGAACTTGGATTGATATGATACACACCCACACCCACATCCACATCCACACCCATATATATATATATATACACTCCTGTTCATGGGCTTTCATGCTTTTGAATACCGCCAGGTACCAAAAAGCAAAATATCTATCTGGTGACATTTTCTAACCTGGGGGTAAAATTAATTATCTCCTCAGGTGGTTTCTGCATATTGATGAAATCTTATTATATAGACACTCTATATATAACTGGAAATAAGTGCTCATAGAAAAATGAAGGAAAAATAAGCAGTCCCTGTATCCAGAATAGTGAATAAATAATTCCACAGATGAGAGTAAGTTTGTGCATACAGATTTGTACTCCCCAATGAACCAATAGCCATTACATCCTCAAACAAATGTTTATTGATAGAGTTCAAAGAATGTGATAAAATCCAACCAACCTCTGTAAATCCTGTGGCCCACTGTATCATATGGTCAGACAAGAGAAGTCCTTGGCCCTTTGGAGCTTTTGGAGAAAATATTCCAACTTTAATCTTTTGTCTGAGACCGAATGGAAAATCCCAGAGGTTGAGAATATTGTATTCTGCTTCCAATTTCCTTTGTGAATCTAGAACCACAATGTTTCCAGCAGTATTTTTGAAATGGATGTTCCTGAGAAAAAGGTGAAGCTAAAGAGATGCAGAATCATATGATGATTTCATTCCCATGGAAGTTCACAACAACCTCATGAAGGGATGTGTCTCATTATCCTAAATACATGACATTAAAAGTGCAAGCTATATCAACTTATCAATGTTTTACTGGATAAAGACCAAAAATGAGCATAATGTTTCTAGGCTGCCAGTTTCAGATGAAAGAATTAATCCCCCTCCACAAACAAACACATCAGATTTATTATATGATTGTTGATTCAGGGAAATTTCCATGCTCTTGAAGTGCTATTCACTATTAAGTGTTTCAACTTTTATATCAGAGTGTTTATTTCTAAACTGTATAAAAATGGACAGATGCTCAGTTAGGTAATACAAACATAACTTCAAAATTTGAACTTTAAGTTTCTAGTATAATTTGATAATTTAGTGTCTAGTGCCCAAATTTCTGTTTTGAAATATACTTGAGAATGAATTTTCAAATTTATTTTATTATTACTATAAATCTTCAGGTTAATTGTAACACAGAGTAGATAATGACATACACATATTTAAACCTGTCATTGCCATCCAATCATCAGGAACATTGACATAGATGTCTATAATAAATTCTAGGTGATAAATTATAGCAGTCTCTCAGGTTATTTTTGGCAAATTCTGTGTAGTGTGCTATCATATAATGATTGATTGTATAAAATTAAAAAATGTCACAGTGCTATTGGTAAAATCCACAAAGTGAAAAATTACCTCCCAAACATAATTATTTGCTTTTTCCTTTCCATAGAGATAATTTTGTTCTTGATTTATAGTCATCTCATGGAGGCTGTGAGCCACAGCATACACAGAATTATATACATTGTAACTTTCTTCAGTCATATCCATTTGCCAAATATATCTAGGCAACATTTCCAAGGAAGCATTGGGCAGACAGTTGCCCAAAATTTTACAATCAGGTTCTGAAAAAGAGCAATTGAAGTGTGCATTCCAAATGAGAGCAAGATAGTGATCATCTGGGTATTTGGAAGGGTTGTATGCCTGGAGAAAATTCCTGTATTCAGAAATCTCAGCATGGTGATGTGTGAAAACGAGACTCCCATGTATTGAATCCAACATGAAACAGTTACTAAGACTATGTAGAGGCCATTGTGACTTCATGACCCAGACTTTCCAAATCATTGAAAAGGCCACCATAGCTATGATTAGACCACTTAAATCTTCCATGTCACCATAAATGATAACCACATTTGCAGTTGATTTTATAATCTTCTTGACAGTCATGATAGAATTATGATTAAATGAATTCTCACTGTCTGGAATCATTTCTACAAAAGCTATACACAGTCCATTCTTGTCCATCTCTCTTCTCAAGTCTGAGAGAATCTCAGCACCATTATGATCGTCTACAAGAACCAGTCCCACCCATGTCCAGCTGAAATGAAGCATCAAAAGGACAATGGCACGTGACAGAGATGTGTCCTTGGGTGCTGTCTGGTAGAGAGAAGAGAACTGTCTTCTGTCACTCAGGAGAGTGTCAAATGGGCCAAATGTAAGCTGATGGAAATTTCCAATGGAAACAAGAGGGAAAACATTGTCATAGAACACAATCTTAAACCTGAGGCAACACTTTGTATTTGTAGAGACTAACTTCTGCTCATGGAGTTTTAATCTCCTATCTTGCTTTGAGATCATCTATAGACAATTTCTTTCCAGACACAGCAATTTCTGTACACCTTATATAGGCTTCAAACTTTTCCTCTTAACTATCTCCAGCAAAATATCTGAGGCTTTATAACCAAATGCCTGAGTTATTTTCTTTGATTGATGAATGACATATCCTAACTTCTGTACATTTTGATATACCTGAAGATCTGCAGTTTAATACAGGTTTCTTGTTCCCTCACAGCCTTGTCCCTCACCTGTGGATATTTGTAGAGATTCAGCAGTCTCCCAATATGTGCAGACGTTGCCCATGAAGTTCCTGTCAGTAAAGCAGCAGCCTTCTTCTGCCTTCTACATGTGTAATTGGGAATCATTGTTCCCATGCCTGTGAGGCAAATGAAAGGTGCCTCCAGAGTATTCCATTGATTGCTGTCGACATTGTAGAGATCAAAACCTAGAGATATGTTAGGTAAAATATGAGTGTTTCTGTTGATTTCCTCAATGGCGAATATGAAGGCCAAAAAATACTGGTAGCTCCTCGTCCTGTATCTGCAGAGAAGGATTATCAACATTCATAAAAAGGTCTCTTATAATAAACAGTATGGTGTAATGGCTCTCATACCTTCTTTCTTAATATTTACTAACAAAAATTTTGGTCATCATGTAATGGTTACAATCTAAGTGGCAGGTTATATAGTACTTGGTGATTAAATTACCTAAAAGCCTCAGGTGGATCAAAAATATCTGGAAGAAGTTTACTTGAACTTACATCCCACATGGAATCTACTAGTAAGTAGAAACATACAAAACCCCCATTTTTTTGTTGCTTATGTGAGATAACCAGCAGATGGAAACTCAAATCTTTAAGACTCCCCTGTTCTGTACTCTAACACCTCAATATCTAAAACCACATTCTGTCTGTACATAGAAGAAGAGCTGCAGTATTTCAGTGGTTGCAATTAAGGAGCAATGATGCTCAGTGGCTTGTCTGCCTGAATTGTATGCATCAGTCCTAAAGCAACATGAGTAAATGCACCTGGGAGGAATATAAATATCCCCCACCCAAGCACAGTTCATTGAACAAACTTTTACTCTCCTATTACTATCTCCTTCTTTCTGAGAGCCATAGAAGGAACAGCACAATGACTGAGTGACCTTCCTATGGATTAGCAGCCAATGTCATGATTTGACCTTGTGTGTGTGTGTGTGTGTGTGTGTGTGTGTGTGGGCATTGTGTACACATATACTGTATTTTCCTTAATCTGCCTTCCACTTTTTCTATGCCTTCATGGTGTTCTACCTGCTAATCAAAGTGGATTACACAACAACCTAAAAGACCTGATGATGGATGTGAGTAGATCACCTTGTAGCTGAGTTCAACTTAATGGAAAATATGACCTGGTTTGTTGCCCATATGATTTGAGGATCATCATCAAGGTGGGAGTAACCATGTGATTTGGCCCTTGTGACAGGTGTGGGTCCAGAGGGTTACAGGAAAGCCCACACAGATACACTGTAAGAATGATTTTCTAGCCTTTCCAGTTGTAGGAGTCAACAAAATCTCATGGACTGACTCACTGCCCCTTATTAAAAGGCTTTTTACTGTTATCCCATTTATACATTAACAAGTTAATTTCCACATAACCAACTCTCTTATCTAAGCTTCCCAAAGGGACAATGCCAAATGTAATATCCTGATTAATGAATACTGTGATTTCCTAGATTTTCCTAAGCAAGTTTTGAATAGACTTTGAGTCCTTAGGAGTCTCTCAGATACAATATATGTACTTTAAACAGAAGGCACTAGGGACCAAGTTAGTAGTCACAAAATGCATATCAAAGCTGGTTGTTACCACTCAGAATCCAATCAGCTGTACACTTCTAAAGGGTATCCTGCCACACATGTCTTTTTAAAATATGTTAGAATTAAATATTCTGAAGACTTTGAGGCTTCTCATCAAATTCAGCATTTTCTGTCATTCTTTTACAATCTTATGTAAATAAGCAATGACATTTTAAAGCTAATATGTTTATTATTATGCCTTGTGGGAGAGTAACACTATCTAAAACAAGTAATCAGAAGTGATTCACATGGTTGAATGAGCCTATTGATTCTGAAGAGTTTTCCATAACACTCATTCCTTTACTATCAGGTAACTGTTTTGTAAAAGGTTCTCAATTTCTTGCTGTAAATTGTAAATTATTATAGAAGAATTAGGGTGACTCATCAAATGCATCTAAGTCTTCTCAGTCATACTTGCTATTGTTGAACTTGAAATTGAAAGGTGTAATACTATAGGATGTAGCATTGGGATCACATTTGCATTTTATCTGTTTCATGAATATTTCTTTTTATTTATTTATTTATTTGCTTATTTATTTCCTCTCCCTCCCTTTCTCACTCCCTCCCATGCACCCTAACCACCCTTCCATTCCATTCCCCTCCACTCCACAGGGAGTCATTTGGAGTAGGGACTAGGCCCTCCCTCCTACCTCTAAGTTAAGGGAGTATCCCTCTATGGGGAATGTGCTCCCAAAGTTTTTTTGTGCATCAGGAATACATCCTGGTTCCATTGTCTGAGGTCCCTTAGATGGCTCAGGCCTTCTAGCTGAGACCCATGTTCAGGGGGTCTGAGTCATTCCCATGATGGATTCCCAGCTATCAGCCTGGGGGCCCATTAGCTCCTCCTTGTTCAGGTCAGCTGTCTCTATGTGTTTCCACAGCATGGTCTTGTCCTCCCTCTCTGCATATGAATTCCAATTCGGCTCAGTGTTTACTTGTGGGTGTTTGCTTGTGTTTCTAGCAGCTACTAGATGAGGGCTCCCTGATGGTGGATAAGTTAGTTATTGATCTCATTACAAGGGAAGGGCATTTATGATAGCCTTTCCAATGTTGCTCAAATTGTTATTTTGGGCCAGTCTTGTAGGTCTCTGGACATTTCTCTAGAGTCAGTTTTCTCTTCAAACCTATAATGGCTCCCTCTTTTATGGTCTCTCTCTCTCTCTCTCTCTCTCTCTCTCTCTCTCTCTCTCTCTCTCTCTCTCTCTCTCATCTATTCCTCCCCTGACTCAATCTTCCTAATCCCAGATGCTTTCCTCTAGTCCCCTTCTCCTTCTATCTCCCTCTCCACTCACTGCCCTCCCCAACTCCCAATATGCTCAGGGGTTCTTGTTCCTTTCCTCTTCTGTGAGGGACCTTGTATGAATCTCCTAGGTTCCTCTTTGTATCCTAGTTTCTCTGATGGTGTGAATTGTAGGTGGGTGATCCTTTGCTCTGTGTCTAAAATTCATATGAGTGAGTACATACCATGTTCCTCTTTTGTGACTGGCTTACCTATTCAGGATGGTTTCTTCAAGTTCCACCCATTTGTCTGAGAAGTTAAAGATTCATTTTTTTTCTTCAGCTGAGTAATATTCCATTGTGCAAATGTGTCACATCTTCTTTATTAATTCTTCAGTTGAGGGGCATCTAGGTTGCTTCCAGATTCTTGCTACTACATATAATGCTGCTATGAACACAGTTGAACAGATGTATTTCTTGCATGGATGTGGATCATTTGGATATAAGCCTAAGAATGGGATTGCTGGGTAGATTGAGTCCCATTTTCCTGAGGTACACGTTTGCACTCCCACCAGCACTGGAGGAGTGTTCCCCTTCCTCCACATCCTCTCCAGCATGAGTTGTCATTGGTGTTTCTAATTTTAGCCATTCTGGAAGAAGTAAGATGGTACCTCAGAGTTGTTTTGATTTTCATTTCTCTGATAGCTAAGGATGTTGAACACTCTCTTAAGTGTCTTTCAGCTTTTTTGATTTTGTCTATCTAGAAATCTCTCTTCAGTTCTGTACCCCATTTTTGAATATGGTCATTTGGTGACTAGTTTCTTGAGTTCTTTGTATATTTTGGAGATCAGCCCTTTGTCAGATGTAGAGTTGATGAGGATCTTTTACCAGTCTGTGGGTTGCCATTTGGTCTTGTCAAATGTGTCCTTTGCCTTATAGAAGCTTCTCAGTTTGAGGGTGTCTCATTTATTATTTGTTGATCTCAAAGTCTGTGCTACTGTATTCATGTTCAGGAAGCAGTCTCTTGTACCAATTTGTTCAAGGGTAGCTCCCACTTTCTCTTCTAAGAGTTTCAGTGTGCCTGGATTTACTTTGAGGTCTTTGATCCATTTGGACTTGAGTTTTGTGCATGGCAATAGATATGGGTCTATCTGCAGCCTTCTACACACCATCTTCCAGTTGTGCCAGCACCATTTGTTGAAAATGCTTTTCTCCTTCCATTGTATACTTTTAGCTGTTTTGTCAAAAACCAGGTGTTTGTAGATGTGGGAGTTAATAACAGGATTTCTGATTTGATTCCATTTGTCGACCTGCCTACTTTTGTGCCAATACCAAGATATTTCCAGGACTATAGCTCTATAGTAGAGCTTGAAGTTGGGGATGGTAATGCCTCCTGAAGTTCCTTTATTGTACAGGCTTTCTTTGGCTATCCTGGGTCTTTTGTTTTTCCCTATATAGTTGATTATTATCCTTTCAAGGTCAGTGAAGTTTGTGCTGGGATTTTGATGGGGATTGCATTGAATATTTATATTGCTTTTGGAAAGATTGTCATTTTTAATATGTTTATACTACCTATATTTTTAACTAATTTCCTGACAGTATAACACTTTGTGTCAAATCAGCTAACTCATTAACTGTCACACTATCTATTTTATTTTGTTGTGTCTGAATCTCTGAAAAGTGCTTATTCCAGTGTCTAATGATATCAGCAGTTAGTATTTGTTAGTGATGAGCCACTCTTGATGTCACAGAACTAGCACTAAATGCAATCATTCCCATTATAATATCAATAATTAGTCCAACCATTTGATGTTTCTTCTTAATATTCTTTCAGCAGGCCTCTGTACCAGCATGATCATGAGTGTGTCTTGCCATGGACCTGACAGTTCTACCAGTATCTAGATTGCCCTTTTCTAGGAAATGATAAACTTTCAGGTTAAGTTTAGAGATATACTAGAATTAGCACAGACATGAAGCATATAGCTTTGTGGTGATGTCTTGCGTCTACAAATAAAGACTGTCTGATTTCAGAGAATGAAGCTTGCCATTAGCTAATTATGATGGGTCTAGAAGCCTGTATAGGCAGAGAGAACATGTGGTATCTTGGCAGAAACAGGATGTATGCAGGGACAAGCATAAACTCCCTCTCTCATCAGCTGAGATGGTAGAGAGGTCTGGTGGTTGTTTGCTCCTTCTTTCTCGTCTCTCAGATTTTCTTCTTTATCCATCTCCATGATTTTATTACTTAGACCAATTAAGAACTCCATTTACACTTTGGTCCCCAACATGGGGCCGAACATTTTTGGCAGGACAGGGGCAAGTTGCCTCAAAATGATCCAGTCAGGCCTTGAGAAAGTCCTAGTTTATTAGACTCACTGCTACTCCCCTGAAGCTGTTGCCAGAAGCTTACACAAACCTTATTATGTTTTTCTTTGACTTAGCTTTTATTTGGGCTAAAAGACACTTTCCCAGACCTCAAGACATTCCAGAACCAGCACATCCAATATGGTCATGGCTTCAGCCTTCTTTACACCCTCCATGCACCCACTGCATCCTGATGGGTAATTGGTAATCAGCACATAGTTTGCTCTTGTTTTCCCTTCATCTTAACAAACATACATTTGGGTCATTTGAGATTTGCTTAAAACAGAAGGATGGACAACATTCGGACAAGTCAGACCTGAGCTTAAGTGTTTTTTGGCTTGCTTTGGTTTTAAACCTATGACACTTGCTAGCCAAACATTGCAACTTAAACTTAAGACTAATAAGAGGCATGGATGACTTTCTGAGGATTTAATTTGATGTAAATTACTGGACAGTTTTGCATTTTATGCTAGTATATACATCAAATAATAAAGAATTTCATACAATAAGGAAACTATTGCTACAGACGTTTCAGATAATATTGCCATCCAGATATTTTGAAATCTTATTGCTTCTAATGTAGAGGGAAATTTATAAAAGGTATATAATCAACATGGGACATATTCACTCTCAGAAATTAAAAAAGAGATTCCAATACTCCTCACAATAAAAGCAGAAGGGTCTTGGCCAAACTCTTTTTAAGGGACTACAATTACCTTCTTAACTACACCACTCAGAAACACAACTTAGAAAAAGCACTAAGGACCAATCTACTTCTCAAACATGGATGCAAAAATACTAAGTAAAATATTGGCAAATTGAATCCAAGAACACATTAGAAAAAATCATTCATCCTGATCAAGTATACTTCTACATAGAGATACAGGGATGGTTCCACATAAGAAAAAATCTTTCAATGTGATTCACCAAATAAACAATCTGAAAAAGAAAAACCATATGATCATCTCATTGGAAGCTGAATATTGACAATACCCAACACCCCTTCATGATAAATGTCTTCGAGATCAGCAATGAAAGGAACATATCTAAACAAAATAAAGGCAATATACAGAAAGTCAAAAGCCAACATCAAGCTAAATGGAGAGAAACTCAATATGATTCCTCTAAAATCAGCGATGATAAAAGGTTTTACAGTCCGTCCATATCTGTATGAACAATATGATAACCAAAGGAGATCAATGGGATACAAATTGAAATGAAAGAAGTGAAACTTTAACTATTTTCAGCTGATATGATCACATACATGAATGACCCAACTCATTCTACCAGGGAACTCCTACAGATGATAAACACCTTCATGAAAGTGGCAGAGTATAAGATTCACAAAAAAAGTAGCCATCTTATATACAGATGATTAACTGGCTGAGAAAGATATCAGAGAAATATCTTTCTTCACAATAACTACAAACAACATAAAGTAGCTTGGTATAACTCTAACCCAAAAAGTGAAATGCCTGTGGTATAACTCTAACCCAAAAAGTGAAATGCCTGTATGACAATAACTTTAAGTTTTTAAAGAAAAAAATTAGGTTGGTCTCTTGATGATAATCAATAAACTCTGATATGGTGGTACTTCTAGATAGTTGTTTTCCCTTAAACACAAAAGGAAATGCCAACTGTAAGTTTTTAACCAAGGAGGCAAAATAAGATGTTGAGGGCAGATGGCCTACAAAACAAATGCAATAGTCAGGTGGATATCAACAAGCTGTGGAGTTAAATTAGACCATTATTCTCCACACAGTATGGGAATCTACTTTAAATGGATCACAATCTATTGAAAGTGGTAGAAGAACTTATACCTTGTATTTCTCAATATATTGATGTATATCAAAACTTACTGAAGAGGTTACCAATGTCATACAGATTAGCATCAGATATCAAAAGACAGAACTAAAAAATAATGAAGATTACACTACCAGAAAATGAAAACATTTTCTGTAGTAATGGGAAGTGTCATCAGAACATCATATAGGGAGAAACATTTTCCATTTGTTCGTTAGATGCAGGGCTGTTGTCAAAAGATTTCCTTTACTGAAGAAGTTGTAAATGGCATCAATAAAGCCTCCAGTCAACAATGGTGTAAATATATTCACAGATAGTGTACAAAGGAAAAACACAAACAGCTTTAGACTCATCGCCTGCCCTCTGCCAGATGTGAGTCTGGGACCAGTCCAGGACGAATCCCCTCACATCCTTCCCTGGAAACACCTTGGGTCAGCCCCACATCTCCTTCTCCACTATAAATTTGGCCTGACTGGTTCTTTCCTGGTACACTGGTCCATGCACCACCCAGAATCTGCCTTCCCCTCATCCTCGATCCTGCTGGCCCACTGCTCGCATGGAAGAAATCTAAATGCTCCTCATCTGAACAATGGATGGAGAAAACTTTAATACATTTTCATAATTGGGTACTACTTGGTAGAAAGACAAAAGGCAATGGGATCTTAAATTTGCAGGAAAAAGAATGGAACTAGGAGAAACCATCCTGAGTGAGGCAACCCAACCACAAAAAGACAAACATGGTATGTAATCACTCATATATGGATTTTAGACATAGAGCAAAAAAGTATCAGTCTACAATCAATCTTGTCAGAAAAGCTAGGTGTCAAGGAGGACCCTAAGAGAGATCTACATGGTCACCCACTCCAGAGCAAGTTGGCAGCATGGGGGGAAATGAGAGGGAGTTAAGGGAAAGAGAAAGGGAGATGGGGCATAGGGGAGCAGGAAGACTGGGTCAGAAAAAGAGTAGAGAGTGCAAGAAATGAGACCATAATAGAGGGGACCATTATAAGTTTTAAGAGAAACCTGGCATAGTGACATGTCTAGAGACCTACAAGGATGACCCCAACTATCAATATAAGTAATAGTATAAAGGCATCTTTAAATGCTCTTCCCCTACTATGAGATTGATGATTACCTTATATGCCATCCAAGAGCCTACATGTTGCTAATTGAAGCAGAAGTAGAGACCCCCCAGCTAAACAGTGAGCCAAACTCCTGGAATCCAGTTGCAGAGAAGGAGCAGTGATGAGCAAAGGGGTCAAGACCAGGCTGAAAAAACCCATATAAATACAGTTGACCTGAACAATTGGGAGCTCATAGACTCAAGTCTGTAATTGTATTGTTAAAATAGCACTTGGACTTGTGATATCATCTCTATGTTTAAGTACATGTAAAAAATGATGCTCAGATATGAATATTAAGATTGTCTGTTTGTAATTGCTAGGAGGGGATGTTAACACACATTTACAAAATGACAGTTAAAATATTCCTGAAGAGGAAATGAGCTATCATGCTAATATGTGTAAACCAGCGTTAAACTGACATATGTATATGAATACTGAATATAGTTTGAATTGTAATATATATGAATATAATTATAAGTATATTTAACTGTACACATATAACAATATATATTTTATATTTAAGTTATGATCTCAAAATGTCAAATAAACTTAGAGATTAAAAAATATTATAATGGAATATGTTTCTTACCACATCCATGTCCTTTTTAAAATGATTATCAGAAAAAACATGCATTTGTGCATTCAGTCAAAATGTGAGGAAAATCAACAGTGCAAACAACAAAATTAACCCATTTTCCTCATATAGTCACGTAGGCACATTCCTGTAAATGGAAATCTGTCACCATGTTTACTGCTTCTATTTCAGACTAAGTTGTCAAAAGATACTTATGTGTGTCAACTGTCCCTATCTGATCATTTCTCCTACTCTACTTTCCCTGTGCAGAGGACTTGGCACTTAACCCAGGTTTCATCACAAACACAATCATATCACAAGGACCTAAATTCATCTTCACCTCTACTTGACTGTGTGCTGACTCTCCACTTGAAACTTGCCTCTGCATTTCCATTTTCAACCATTGTATTAAACCTGAATACAGGATATTTTCTTCAATCCCAGGTCCCATGAATCTTACAGCTACAGAAGAGTTTGCATGTAATAAAATAGATCTTACTTCCTTCACAATGAATTCTCTATAGCATTGTCCAAGTGTTTCTAGTAATTTTACTGCAACTTTCCTCTAATATAAAAGGCACAAAACTAAGATACTACTCCCATGCTTCACCATCAACATCCATGTGACATCCAGAACACATCCATGTCAGTTTTAATAATTAGAAATATAGTAATGAATTGGAAAAATGATGCAAAATTGACATACCTTAAAAGATTACTAATTAAAATTAGGGAAAAACTGTAAATAATTTTGAAAGCATTTTAAAAAGAAGATTCCCACAGTTAAAATTCTCACATTGGTTTCCATAATGAGCAGCAGATAGCAAGACAGTCCCTGTCTCTCTGCCATCATCACATAGGGACTCTATAGTCACTGTGATCACTGGCATCATTTCTGCTGAATGAAGAACTACACTTCGAAAGTGCCCCAAAACAACATGTCAAATAGTAAGCTATTCCACCTGCATGGAAAATCATGAAAATGATCCAGCCCCAGATACCTGCCAGCACTTCAGGGGAACACAGAGAAAGCCAGGATAACAAATGTGTAAAATGACATAAGTTCAAACAAACACTTTTTCTCTGGCAGAACAAAAAAGGCAGTGGGAAGATACACCTGAAAGAGATTTGTGAGTCGAAGAATGGGTATGCCAAAATGGGAATTAAAATTAAGTTTATGTCAATCAAAATTTACTTGAGAACAACAAAATGTGAGCAGTGAAAAGAATTAAAATTTAAAAGCACTTACTGGATGTAAATACTTTTTTCGCCTGTAAAATTAATGGTCTTCTGACGAAAATAACTGAAAAATGGAACAAACACAGCAATGATCACATTTCCATCACGATATAAATGCTTTTGTTTTTTTGTATTGCATTGAGAAGAATCAACAGAGTAAAAAGGAACAAGATTCTGCAAGAGCAAGAAAAGAAAAATCCAAGAGAACATCATAAAAAAAAAAAAAAAACTGTCTATCACAGTGTAAGTATGGAGGACAGAGATCAAAATGTGTTCAGCAGCTACATATAGAGCTCAATTGTTAGTGAACACAAGGGTTGGTAATATTGTTGGTGACTGAATTAATCACTCTTATCACATGATTCTTTTGACAAGCCTCATCTGCACTCCAAGGACAATTTTGCAAAAACGTTCCTTCCTGAGACTTCACTTCTGAGATCCTGCATTCAAGATAAAACAAGTTTCAAAAACATTTGGGATTTTCTTGAACCACAAAGCTATTGATTTCATCTAAGAGGACACACAGCCAGACCCCAGGGATGACTCCTCTTGGATAGACTTGCCTAGAGCTCTTTACCACTAAAGTTACATGAGACATTGAATCAGGATGACGCAAGGACCTTGCAAGCAAGGACACCAAGGGAGATGAGAGGGAAAACATCCTGAAATACTTCCAACCAGACTGGGCCAGTGAAAATCAGTTGCAAACCATGCTCTTTAAAAGTGATTATTGCCTATGCCAATCTAACTTGTCAATGGCGTGGAGGAGTCTGAAACCATTATTTTGCACAAATCTTGCATGTGCTCATACCAATACTTCTCTCATGTCTCAGTGTAGTCCAACACATTTTTCTCATTCTTTTGAAACTGACAGGATAATTCATGAATTCCAAATCAATGGCCCAATCCATGATGAGAAGAGGGTTTCTGTTTGCTTTATGAGTTCTGACCTACTAGGCTATTGTGTTACTTATCAATAATAAATCATCCATTTAATATAAAATCATGACCCCTCTCTTATCCAAACAATGAGGTTTAAGGCAGTATATATGCTTTTCTTCTAATATAAAGAATTGAAAGCTCCCCTTACACTTTCCTCCAATAAAATAAGTAAGGTCTTATACCCTCAATCCATAAAGTACAAGATGTTCATTCTGAATACTTTAAATTAATTTAATTTGAAGAGAAGAATGGGCCATGATAGTTAATTTAAAGTTTGAACATGGGCACATAATACTAAAACTCACCCATAGTTTCACTTAAGTTCCATTTTACTTGTTTACTCTGAGTTGAAAAGTTAAATATATCAGATAGCTTCTTACCTGATCACTGCCACACATGTCTAATATACATCTTCTGTGTATAAAGGAGAAAGTTCTGAATACTCTTCTACTTAATGACTGTCACTGGGTCCTGAACTTTATCTTGATTGAGCTCATAAGTGACTCAAGACCTGTGTCTTCCTGATTTATCTGTTAAGCCATTAAGCTCTGATATCTGTGATTGTGATTGATAATGGGTTATATTATGAAACGATCAGTATGCATAAAGTCTATTTTTGACCTGATGTAGTTGGAAAGACTGATCACCAAGACAGAAAACATGGAATCCAGGACTGATATTTTCATTATCTGACTCTCAGAATAAGCTCATAATTATTCAGAGGTACAGATATTAACAAGGCCAGGGAAACATTCAATTTGCATTCATCTGTTTAGAATTGTGGGATAATAGAATCCTCATGTTTTAAAACTCTCCTTTTTGGTTTTGTGTTGTAGCAGTACCAGAAAAATATAGGTGGACTGGGTGCAAATCTTTTCTAGCAAATAGTCTCCTAGGCAATTCAAAATTAGCCATACAATTGCTCTATATAGCTGACTTATATTCTATTTGCGTTTATTAGTTTAGTGACGGATACTCGAAAGTTCGTATGCTGGTTTCCCAGCTATCAGTCTGGGGTCCATGGGCTCCCCTTTGTTCAGGTCAGCTGTTTTTGTGAGTTTCTAGAGGCTGTTCTCAACCCCTTTGCTCATCACTTCTCCCTCTGTGCAACTTCATTCCAGGAGTTTTGCTCAGTGTTTAGCTGTGAGTATCTGTTTCTGCTTCCATCAGCTACTGGATGAAGGCACTAGGATGTTGTATAGGGTAGTCATCAATCTCATTATTGGGGAAGGGCATTTAAGGTATCCTCTCTGCTATTGCTGTATTGTTAGTTGGAGTCATCCTTGTGGGTCTTTGGGCATTTCCATTGTGCCAGATTTCTCTTTGAACCTGTAATGGCTCCCTTTGTTATGGTATCTCTTTTCTTGCTCTCCCCAATTCTTTCTCCTACTCAATCACCCTGCTTTCTCATGTTCTACTCTCCCTTCCTCTTCTCCCCTTTCTTTCTCCTAACTCCCTATTACCTCACACCCCTACCCCCAATTTTCTCAGGAGATCTTGTCCCTTTCCCCTTTTGTGGGTGAATATGCATGTCTCTCTTAGGGTCCTCCTTGTTTTTTACCTTCTCTAAAGGTGTGGATTGTAGGCTTGTGTTCCTTTGCTCTATGTCTAAAATTTATATATGAATGAGTATATACCATGTCCATCTTTTAGTGGCTGGGTTACCTCACTCAGGATGATTTCTTCTAGTTCCATCCATTTGCCTGAAAATTTCAAGATTCCATTGTTTTTTCCACTGTGTAGTACTCTATTGTTTAAATGTACCACATTTTCTTTAGCCATTTTTGAGATGTGGGCCATCTAGGTTGTTTCCAGGTTCTAGCTATTACAAATAATGCTCCTGTGAACATAGTTGAATAGAAGTCTTTGTTGCATAGATGTGCATATTTTGGGTATACGCCTAAGAGTAGTAGATTAATTTGCATTTTCTTGAGGAACTGTCAAACCTATTTCCAAAGTGGCTGTACCAGTTTACATTCTCACCAGCAGTGGAGGGCTGTTCCTCTTTCTCCACATCCTATCGAACATAAAATGTCACTGGGGTTTTTGATTTTAGCCATTCTGACATGTGTAAGATGGTATCTCAGAGTTGTTTTGATTTGCAATTCCCTGATGGCTGAAGATGTTGAGTGTTTTCTTAAGGGTTTTTAAGTGTTTTTCAGTCATCTATTAAGTATTCTCTTTTTAGTTCTTCACCCCAGTGATGGGAGATGTCATTCTGTATATATGTTTCTCATACTGGTTAATGAATAAAGCACTCTTAGCCAATAGGAAAGGAAGATAGGAGGGACTAGGACACAAGGAGGAAAGAAGAAGTAGTAAGGAGGAGTCTTTTCACAACCTTGGAATACTCTTCTGCTCCACCATACCTAGCACCTTCCATTTTAAATATGTCCTGTTTTAGATTCTTTCTGTAAAGTTGTGTGCTCTTTTCCAGGGGAGAGATTTCTTCTGCTACCAGAAGTCCTTAACATAACATTTCTCCTTTTTTCTTTACATTACATCTTCTCTTACACTGAAGCAAGACTTCAGGGAAGAACAATTTTTTAAAATGTTTTTAACTTAGGTGTGTCTGGGCACAATTTCAAAATCCATGTTCTTTCTGGTGGCAGGGACTTAAATACTAATGAACCGTTCATGTATATTTATGCTTTGACTTTCATGCATTACAAGTATTTTTATATAGACAGTTACTAGTATGATTACTTTTGAAGTTGTTACACATCATTTCAATTAGTTCTCCTTCCTCTCTGTCCTGTATTTACCTCCCTCTCCACCCCAAATACAGCCTTCCCATTTCATCTTGTCATTTTCTCTTGTGAAAACTGGTGTTTTGTTCTTTCTCTCTCCATTTCTTCATATCTGCTCTGGTTCCTTTTTATTTTCCTGCTTTCTTTGATTCAGTACTTACACATTTGCTAGAAGTTATTTCCATCATTGGTATACATGGACAAAAAAAGCTGACAATGTTTCTGCATATGCCTCAAAGAAAAGGAGACATTGTTTACTTATTTTAATTTAAAGCATGTTACAGGCATACCACACAATCCCACATGGCAGTCATTTACAAAATGATTAAAACAAACTCTAAATAATAGCTAAACACTCAAAGAAACAATGGTGAATAGATTACAGGCCTTAGAAGACTTTCAGTCTGATACACCAGAAGAAGAGGTACAGGTAACAGGGCATGAAAAAGATTTAAAATTTCCTACACATTTCAGTGTCATGGGAGACTTGCCTAAGGTCAATTTGTCAATTCCAATGGCTTTTGCTGTATCTCGTACTGAAAATCCAACAATGAAAAAACATCGAAAGGTTTCATTGCTTATCAGTGGGAACCAATAAGTATGAAAGATTTAAAAGGAATAAAGGAAACAGTAGTCCCTTATGCCATGCACTCACCATATGTAAAGCAATTAGTAGAATCATGGGCAAGGAATAAAAATTTAACCCCCTAAGGATTGGTATCAATTAATATCAGCTGTGTTTGAAAACGTGTCTCAGTTACAATGGAGCGCTTTGTGGAAAGAAGCAAAAGCTTTTGAACTTCAGGGCTTAAAGAAAGGTTATAAAGCTCCCCAAGATAAAATTCTTGGTGACAGTCTTCATGCTGATCCAGAAACTCAGGCTGCATATGATGATCACATCTTGTCTCTATGCATTACAGCACCTTTGAATACTTGGGATAAGGTTCATGAACCAGGGGAGAGGAAGGGACTGAGAGAATGATTTACCATATTTCTACAAAGATTGTCTAGTGCAATATAATTAGAGGCAGCAGACCCAGATTCTAGGTGAATACTCATAGAATCATTAGCTTATGAGAATGTGAATCCACAATGCAAATAAGTGCTTTGGCCCTTAAAATTCAGATCAGCACCATTGGATGAATGGATCCTGTATACAGCCAACATTGAGTATAATGACCATGGCACTGAAGCTTGGGTAGGAGAACCAATCTCCAAAGGTTTGAAAAGTCATCAAAACTTAGGATATTTTAATTGTGGTAGGCTAGGACATCTAAGAAGAAATTGTAGGCAAAGCATTCCTAGGAATAACACGCCTAGGAATGAATCAGACAGAATGCCTCAGCCTTCTGGATATTTAGAAGATGTGGCAAAGGCCAACACTGAACCAATGAATGTAGATTGACCAGAGACAAGCAAGGAAACCCTTTACAATCAGGAAACTCCTTGGGGGGCTCTCAAATACCCTGTGTCAAAGGTGGTCCAGGCATTCCAAGTCACCACAGAGGACAATCTTCCCTA